ACGTCATCAGGGATGGAGAAATGGCGTTGAAAGCCGGAGATTCGATCTGCCGAAAGGAGCTCTTTCAGATGTTTTGACATTCTTTTTAAGCCAAATCCAAGGATTACGGAAAGTTAAAAGCCAATAAGGAAGCGGGATAAAAAATGAAGGAGAAGAAGACTTACAGGAGATAAAGCGAGAAACGAGTTGTAGAAGCCACGAAGAGATAGATTTGCAGTGGAGGGCGAGCAAGATATCTTTTGAACATTCAGGACATACACTCAAAGAGGAAATTTCAAATCATATTAAATGGAAGCAGTGTACGAAGTGGCGGGAAAGCATTACGATGACCAAGAAGCGTGTGCGCATTCTGAAACGCATTGGGAAGAGGGTTAACCGCCGAATTTTTGACTTCTCAGGCTAAAAGCCAAACACGCCGACTAACTGATGATAACAGGGTGTTTGGGGGGCGATTGTGGGAGCTGGATTTTATTAGATCCATAGGGACGAATGAGCGTGTTTGGCCTGAACCGTAGCCTATATTTGGCATATACCCCAGCCAGTTAAGGAGCCAGATAAAATAACTAACATCACAGCCAATAGAACTGACGCCGAGTAGAGGTACATATGATGGAACAAGGATGGGCCCAGCCCAAAGGCCCAAAGAAAATACTATAAATATGTGATCATCCATTAGAGAAAGGCAGGTGAGAATTGTTGTACTTAGTTTAGAATATAAGTAATCTTGAGTGTTGAGACTGACTTGTCCGTCGGAGTGCTAATTCCAGCACCCCCGACCGGAGTGTTTATTCCTTTTCAGGTGACTATCAGCGGATCACGAGCGTCCCCCAGGATTCGAAGAGTATTTACAAACCACTTCTCCACAACCATCTAACACATTGCATTCACACACCGTTGTAGGAGAATGTGGGTTGCCCTCCCTTGTTTTCGAAGGTTTGGATGGCTGACGAACTGTAGTGCGGTTTTGATTTCTGCGAGCACGACGTCGTCGTCTGAAACCAACACTTTCTTCAAATCACTGCCTGCACAAACAAAACGATAAGATGAACATAGTGCCGAATACATATACATGCAAATATGAAGACCAAAGTGATCTAATCGGCCACTTGGTTAGCCTTTTTTCCTCGGCACCGGGTCTAGACGATCCTCGCCTTCGCTGAACTCCCAGTTGCCGCGGACAACGACCATCACATCGTCGACACGCTTGCCAGAGCTGGCGAGCATAGTCACTAAGTGATGATCAGTATCCTTAGCTCTAAGAAAGTAACGCCCTAGCCGGCCAGTGGATTTGGCAAGGGCGTAACAGTGCCGAATGGCATGAATACTAAATTGGTCCTAAGACAACGATTTAGTTCTACAATCCCCATTATGATATGAAAAAAATTGACGTTGGGCTGGGAGGGGATCAGACCCCAGTATCTAAGAACGACCCTCAAAAGTGGGTGAAGAGGAAAGCATACTCCGCCCTCAGTAATTGATAAGAGAGGAAAGACGATTGTGCTCTCATTTTCCCTCTGCATATCAGTGATGCTGTTTACCAAAAGTGACAGATGGACGTCATCAGGGATGGAGAAATGGCGTCGAAAGCCGGAGATTCGATCCGCCGAAAGGTGCTCTTTCAGATGTTTTGACATTCTTTTTAAGCCAAATCCAAGGATTACGGAAAGTTAAAAGCCAATAAGGAAGCGGGATCAAAAATGAAGGAGAAGAAGACTTACAGGAGATAAAGCAAGAAACGAGTTGTAGAAGCCTCGAAGAGATAGATTTGCACTGGAGGGCGAGCAAGATATCTTTTGAACATTCAAGACATACACTCGAAGAGGAAATTTCAAATCATATTAAATGGAAGCAGTGTACGAAGCGGCGGGAAAGCATTACGATGACCAAGAAGCGTGTGCGCATTCTGACACGCATTGGGAAGAGGGTTAACCGCCGAATTTTTGACTTCTCAGGCTAAAAGCCAAACACGCCGACTAACTGATGATAGCAGGGTGTTTGGGGGGCGATTGTGGGAGCTGGATTTTATTAGATCCATAAGGACGAATGAGCGTGTTTGGCCTGAACCGTAGCCTATATTTGGCATATACCCCAGCCAGTTAAGGAGCCAGATAAAATAACTAACATCACAGCCAATAGAACTGACGCCGAGTAGAGGTACATATGATGGAACAAGGATGGGCCCAGCCCAAAGGCCCAAAGAAAATACTATAAATATGTGATCATCCATTAGAGAAAGGCAGGTGAGAATTGTTGTACTTAGTTTAGAATATAAGTAATCTTGAGTGTTGAGACTGACTTGTCCGTCGGAGTGCTAATTCCAGCACCCCCGACCGGAGTGTTTATTCCTTTTCAGGTGACTATCAGCGGATCACGAGCGTCTCCCAGGATTCGAAGAGTATTTACAAACCACTTTTCCACAACCATCTAACACATTGCATTCACACACCGTATCTGACTTCGGCATGTGCTCGTTCCGCACACCATACTCGCATTTGATACACATACTAAGCCTAACATATACCAATTGCCTTTTCAGGTCCCACCTCTGCCGACTGCACCGGCGGCAGTAGCTGTAGGACCATCAGCACCCCCTCCAGCAGCACAGAGAAAGAGAGAGAGAGAGAGAGAGAGAGAGAGAGAGAGAGACTCCCACACTTGGCCGAGGGGGACGTCGTGAGCCTATTATGCAGGATGATGATGAGACCAGCGAGAGCGAGGAGGCCGCATATTAGCATAACGAGTCATCCGAGAGCGGAGACGATGATGCTGGCTCAGATTCCGCTAGTAGAGATGAGACTGAGCCAGGCTCTAATACAGAGGGCGACGACAACTCCGATTCCAGTTCTGATTCAGCATCAGGTTCAGATAGCGGTGCGGATAGAGATAGCTCTGCAGAGTCCACTCCACCAAGGAAGAGAACAAAGAGAGCCTCTAGAGCTTGAGCTAGCTGATGCTGATTCATGTGTTTTTGCTTAGTTTCTTTCTTTTTTAGTAGTGTAGCACAATGTATAGCTTAGATAGTTTTATTTTCTTAAAAACTTGTACACTTTGTAAAAAGAGACCATGCTTGGAATGTGTGGAGGAGTGGTTTGGAAATGCTCTTTGAATCCTGTAGGACGCTCGTGATCCTTAGCTAGTCACCTAAAAAGGAATGAACACTCCGGTTGGGGGTGCCAGAATTAGTACTTTGACGGTGAAGTTAGTGTATACTCTCTTGGTTACTTATATCTCAAGTTAAACTTATTCTCACCCATACCTTTCTCTGGCTGATGCTCTTTTATTTATATTCTTTTTCTTCGGCCTTAAGGTGGGGCCCACCCTTGATCCATTGCACATCTATTTACTCGGCTTTTATTCTGCTGGTTGGAATGCCAATTATCCTATTCGGCTCTGTGGTCGACTAGGATCAATGCCAAATACAAATTCCGTCCTTGACTACCCTCATACTTGTATCAGGCCTTATTGCCCCCGGAATATTCAGCTCCCACAATTGCCCCCCAAACATCCTATTAACGCCAGTTATTCGGCATGTTTGGTTTCGAACGGCATGTTTTTATTTTTGAATTTGAGAAGTCAAAGAAAGAATGGTGGCTAACCTCTTCCCGACGTATGTCAGAGCACACACTTTTTAGGCATTATTACATCTTCCCGCCTCTTCGTACACGTTCTTTATTTAATGCGATTTGAAACTATGTTGTCCCTTCGTGTGTAAGTTTTTTTTTTGGATACTCAAAGCTTCTGGTTTGCCTTTCGATATATCTCCATCTCGCGACCTCTATAACTTCCTCCTGTCCCTCATTATCTCTTCTGCTTCTTGTAAGTTTTCTTCTCCTTCACTTTGAATCCCATTTTCTCGTTTATTTTTAGCTTCGCATAATCCTTAGGCTGGCTAGGATGGCAAAACATTTGAAAGAACTCCTTTCTGCGGGTCAAATTTCCGACTTTCGACGCCATTATTCCATCCTCGATGACGTTCATCTGTCACTCGTGGTAGACAGCACCACTGATATGGAGAGGACTGATGAGAGCACAATCATCTTTCCTCTTCTATCGATTGCTGAGGGCGGACTCTGTTTTTCCCTTCACCCATTTTTATGGGCTGTCCTTCGACACTGGGGTTTAATCCCTTCCCAGCCCAACGTAAATTTTTTCCGAAACATAATGGGGATTATAGAGTTGAATCGACGCCTTAGGATTAACCTAGGTATACTTGCTATTCGTCATTGTTATGCCTTAGCCAAGTCTACTGGCCGGCTGGGGCGCTATTTTCTCAGGGCCAAGGATACCGATCATCACTTAGTGACCATGCTTGCCAGTTCTGCCAAACGTGTTGACGATGTAATGGTCGTTGTCCGAGGAATATAGGAATTTGGCGAGGGTGAAAGATCACCTAGATCCCATGCCAAGGCGAAAAAGGCGAACCAGGTGGCCATATAGCTCATTTTTGTTTCTTCTATTGCCATATAACGTATTCGGCTTTCCTTCTATATACTTACCATTTTGTTTATGCAAGCAACGATTTGAAGAAAGTGTTCGTTTCAGCTGACGACGCTGTGCTTGCAGAAATTAAAATCGCACTATAGTTCGTTGGTCGTCCAAGCCTTCAGAAACAAGGGAGGACGGCCCACATTCTCCTATGGTACGAGCCGACTTACGCAATGTTTTCGGCGGCAAACCACATTCTAATTCCCAGAGGCGAAGATCATCTTACGGCCCTTATCTTCCCATACTACAAAAACCTAAGGCAGATTGGTTTGGAAGACTTCGATTCGGAGCATGTGGGAGAGCATGCAGCCGAAACGGTCGCTAAGGACTCGAACCAGTTGGAAGCCGAGGTAGACGAGGCTCTCAACTCGGTCTTTGAGGAAGCTGGACTCAATTCGTTTGACCCTCCATCTACATCAGGCTGAGGGGACATCTCCGTTGAAGACATTTTTACCGACCTTGGGGACCTACCCAGCTCGTTTCCTGACAGCATGGCTGGCGAGTCGCTCACTCAAATGGCCAAGCGGAGGAACGTTGAGAGGATGGCTGCCCATCGAAAGGCCAAGGCCGAGCAAAACCAACCTCTGCGACCTCCACCTGACGCTAGGGAAGAGACTCCACCTGCTCTCGTTGAGGAGGTGGTTCAGACTGTTGTGGCCGAAACAGAGCCTGTTGTCGATCGATAAGACCAAGTGACGGAGCAAAGGGGGAAAAAACGTTTGGCTGATCAAGATGCCAGTTCTTCGGAAGACCTAGTGGATAAACAGCCACAAATAGAAGAATTGGACTTGGTCGTGCCATTCAGAATTCAACCAAGGATAAGAAACACGCCGGTTGCTTTCGACGCATTGGCTGTAAAAGACCTAGCGGTGGCCTTGACCATGGCCTCCTCTATTTCGCTGCCGATTGATAGAGCAACCTTTAGGGATGAGAACGATTTACTGTCCATCGCATTAGCCGCTTCGTAGGCGATATTGGTACGTGATCTTGTAGACGTCCCCAAACGTCCCGGGAGGATGAGTCCCGTTCTGTTCATTTGGGCTTACCACAGTTCAGGACTCAAAGTCACAGTCCTGTATCTAATCTTGCAGGGTGCAATGCAAGATCGATGAATCATCAAAGAGTTCAAATCTGGCAAATCATTTTTGAAAATAGATCTTTTTTGAAAGAAGTGCCAAACATGGACTGTTTTGCAAGATACACAGTCGCCACCCAAATATTTTATTTTGGGAAATTTAGGAAACCCTGACTTGTCGCCTAAGGCCACGTGTCCGTCATCACCAAAGTTGTCTCGGCTCGGGAACTTGGGTACGATTGGGGAAGGCCACTTCGTGATCACCCCCGCTCGTCCGATCAAAGATTGACCTCTACTAACCATGATAACAAGTTTTGAAAACATTATGTATTCTTATTCTGGTTATTAGCCTAGATTTGCTATGTGATGCACACAGCATACAAATATAGAACGGATCGCCTGAATTGGATCAACACATCTCATGTTTGTTTATTTTGAAAGTGGTTTGATGGTGCTACCCACAAGTAGGCTAAGACATGGATTTGCCACCCCCGGGTGGGCTTGAAATAAGGTGATTTGCCATTCTCAAGTGGGCTTAAAACTCACAATTGATGAATTGTTCCAATCCAAATAACCCAACCTTCACCCACAGGCATTCAGGCAGTTGTATCACGAAAGCAGATAGCCTCATGGTAAAAATGCTATCATGGCAGTCACTCACACGCATGCAAGGATGCTAAAGCATAAATGCTTACCGAGTACTCCAAGCCAAAACAGAAGCTGATTAGAAATCATGCAAGATCCTAAATATACAGAAATGCTTAATGCAACACATGCAAAATGTAACTATAGTAGGCTCGGCTATTCTAAGGATGGCATGTGAAATGGTACAACTAACAAGTATTCAACTCGAAATTGAAATACAATGCAGTTAGTATGATGCGCCGAGCCCGGTGCATCCAATACAGATGAATGATACAAACATGCAAGCATAAGTATGCTAATTGAAACATGCCCTAATCTAACCATCATAAGCGGGTAAATAAAGGGGAGAAAGACGTGGGGTTGGAAGACATACATCACACGCACGCACACTTATTACAATTGTGCCCTCGCTCGGAGGGTCCGAATAAATAATACAGTCCGAATAAGTATAAAAAACCCTAATTAATTAACAATTTAACTAGGAAAGCAAGTAAATTAGCATGCATGCTTATGGACCGCCTCAGCTCTATTCCGAATGATGAAAGATGCATGCTTGAGTTGCCTGGCGCAGAAATCCATCGCGATGCCCCGATTCGCCTCTGTTTGCAATTAATCCCGAAATGCTATGCCAGGCTCTGGAAGGCTGTTGATTTCTGATTTGCTGCAACAGAGAGCAAGAAAGGGGCACAACAAACTATTTTCACATATGTATGTATGACTACTCTTCAGGGAGTGTAGTCCTCGATCCTCGTGCCACCAATCATGCATCTCGATACATGATGGCCGAGGAGTCGAATTGCACGACTCAAAGTGAAATGAATGCACATATAAACACAATAGGACCTAAACTCCATCATCGGTAATCCGGAGTGTCAGCGACGGGAAATTGAGGCACGTTCCGTCACTCGGAGTACGAAACGTTCCTCGTTTCCCGTGCTTGGGCTAACTCCTATCCCAAACACAATGCAAATGAGATGGCATACACAATGCGACTAACAGACAACCTAGCACACGCAATGCTATGAAATGGCATACACAATGCTCAATTTAACATGTCATACACAATGCTCTAACATGCAACTTAGCATACACAATGCTATGGACCGAAATGCATACACAATGCACGATGGACTTACACCAACATGAGTGGACCTCAGCCACACTCACATCAGTGGCCATTAGATGAAAATGAGACAACCGAAATGTGTGCACACATGCACGAATACCAAGGACCGAACCTAAGGCATGGAATGCCACTCTACCAAAGCATGGCAAGGATGAAACATGACATGGAATAGCATAAATTACAGCTCTAAAATAGCATGAAATATGGTCCCGAAACATGCAAATATGGCACACAATGCAAGCTAGGGGGCCCGGGTACCGAAACTAGTGAAGTGCGTCACACTAGAGGTACCCAAAGCAATGTACCAAAGGCAAAACCAACCCCAAACAGATCCTAGGCAGGTCTGAAACAGTGGGGAAATGGCCTAAAATGATGGCTCGGAATGCAACAGAATGGAGCTCATTCAATGGTCGGTAAATGAGGCATACAAGCCCGACTCTCAAACGCATTTAAAGAGATGAAAACATGGCAACATGGCATTCGTATAAGCTCTGAAATTTGATGAAAAATGACCCCAAGGCATGAAAATACCTCAGTATATGCATGGAATGGATCTCAAAACTCAAAGCTAAGCATGGACCTTGAACTACAAGCATGCGAAACTAACATCATTCAACCACAAGACCCAAAAACAGAGCTAGGAAAGTCCAAAATAAGCACATTATCAGTTTAAGAAATGGCCAAAATGTGCTAAAATCAAGGTCCGACAAAGCATGCAAAGAAAGCTAGTGAACCATGAGTTGTTCTACAACTATATGAAGCATATGAGGGCTCGCCCAACCAGCCAAAAACAGAAGCATGCCATGTCAAAATATGCCCAAATAACCACTGAAACTCAGTTAATGCATGCAAAAATGATGGGCTCCTTTGAAAGGCCAATAAGAGGGTTACTCTACACATACATGATGGGCATCAATGATGGCAAAACCACCTCTAGAAATAGGTTATGAAAGCCCTACAACTCACCAAAAAGGCCCCAAAATCAACCTAGGAAGCATGCAAATGAAAAACCCTTTGAAAGGCCTTGAGTGAGATTGTTCTATACATGCATCATAGACATAAAATATGGCCAAAGGGGCTCCGGAAAGAGTCAAGGAAGACCTTAAAACTCACAAAATAGGGCCTAAAATGTGACTTCACAACATGCAAGATGGAGCCCCTTTGGAAGGCCAACAATGCTAGTAAAAAGAACAAGGGGTGAGACGGTCACCCCTCTCTGATTTTGAAACTCAAAAGCACATCTAATCCACTAAAAATCCACTAGATTTCAGTGGCTAAAAGGCCAAACCAAGGCCAATGCAAATGCTCAAATGCAAGGCTCAAAACATGAGGAAATGAAGCATGGAAGGGGGAACATGACCCCAAATAGAAAAGAGTCCTTAAACAAACATGCTTCAAAGATCAAAACAAAACTTTTTCTAGTTTAGGAAAATCTTGAAAATGCTTGCAAGTAAGGCTAAGATATCATGCAAAATAAGCCCTAAAAGAGAGATGAAACATACAAGGATGTAGAAGACCTCAAATAGAAAAGTATCCTGAATCAAACTTCAAGAGGAGCTCAAAATAAGACACTTTACAGTTTATAACAAAACCTAGAAATGCTTGCAAATAGGGCTAAGCTATGGAGCAAAATAATACAAGAAAAGGGGAAATGGAGACTTACCCTTGAAGAGCAGGTTTCCAGCAAATTCTGGACCAAGAAAGGAGTTCTTCAACCTCTAAAAATCAGTTCCAAGATGCTTGAATGGATGGTGGAGGTGGTAGGCTATGAGGTGTAGTGCAAATGGTGTGAGAATATTAGGGTTTGGAGCTTGAAGAAGAGAGCTGTGGTGGGTGGAGTGTATATGCCTTAGCAAAAATTGTTGAACCCTTGCAAATGAAGACAAGCCTCTCCTTTATAGAGGAGAGGCCCTAAAGCTTCTCTTGGAAGCTTCAAATATCCTCCATGCACGTGTATGGAGGATGGTCCAAATGCCTCCCAGCTGGCACAGCTGTGATGCATTCAGAGAGAGCAAAAAGCAAGAAGCAGGCCGACCAGTTCAAGTGGCCGGCCGGCCACTCCCCCTGGTCGGCCGACCAGGGGTCAAAATGTTCAAGGAGAAATGCTGGCCGACCACCCCAGAAAGAGGCCCTTTCAGATGAGTGCAACACAGCTGTATGGTGGAAAACCAGAAAAAGTGACCCAGGAGAGAGAAAAACCAGCTTTTTAGGAAGGTTCAAAATGGTCAAGAAGAATTATTGGTCGGCCTACCCATATTGGTGGCCTCCCAGATGAGCACAACACAATGGTGGTATGAAAAACCAGAAATTGTGGCTCAAAAGTGAGAAAAATCAACTTTCTGTAAGAAAAACCGGCTTTAGGAGAGAGAAAAAGAGAGAACTAGTTTCCAAGGGAAAAAGGTGGCCTCCCACCATACTACCACCTCCCTAGCAATGAAAATAGGGTCCCTACCAAAAATGAAGCCTAACCGATGCAAAACGAGGGTTCGGGGACCAAAGCACGCGGTCTGGGGCCCCGAAAACAGGCTATTAAGTATCGGGGGTGGCGTACGACCACGAAGGTGGTCTCCCGGGCCACAGTGTCCCTCTAAAGAGAGGAAACAAGGTGTGTGCCAAAAACCGGAGCAAACGGAGGTAGTCAAGCGGTCCCGAACCGAGGCGCATGGCCGACGGCTCTGAAAACCGGAAACTAGTCTCCAAACGGGAAAAATGGCCTACGACCACGAAACGTAGCCTACGGCCACTGAGAGATGGTCTATGAGACCTCTCTCTCCCTTCGGGAAGAGAAAATAGAGAAAACAGGATGTGGTCCGCAAACCGAGGCA